AGTGCTGGGTTATTGTGGGTGCAGTGGTGGGTTATTTTTGTTACAGTGGTGGGTCTTGGAACAGAAACAAAGACGAACAGGACGATGACCAGATGAGGAATCAGGAAGGCTGGATTACCTGGTCTGACTGTGACAGCTGTGAACTTAAAAAGGTGTATTCAGTAGTTCACTGTAGAACTTCTTTGTCAACTAAAGAGCTTCAAGACAATGTAATTCATGGCCAAGCTTTACTGGTTTTAGATAAACTGAGAATAAAATTTTCTACTTGAGATAAAGGTGGCTGTTACTCCATCATTCTGAATAATCTCTCTATTTCTAATTATATCATCCAGGATTTTCAATTAATTAAAGTCAGTTTAAATGAACAATTCAGTAACTAAGTTGTTTTTACTGTAATTTATTTAGTTTACTTTCTGTAATAAAGCTGTTTGTTAAATCTCTTACATTGAATTTTAAATCTCCATGTGTGTTTTGTGAAAATGATAAAAATGAAAGTTCAAAATAATAAGTTTCTAAATAGTTTGCAATACTTTAAACATTATTAATACATGTACAATGTTAAAAAATATTGCAATGTTAAACAAATGATTACTTTGAACTTTCTTTTTAATAATTGTAAGAATCATTTTTAGTAATTTTGTACCAATAACATCTGATCATAGAAAAACAGCAGCTCTCCATGCTAAAAATGCAGCTTTGAATCACAAGAATAAAAGACATTTAAAACGACAATTATTAAAAAAAAAAAAAAAAAAAAAAAACGTTTGTACTGGCCTCACTGACACTGGCTGCCTGACTGTTCAGTCAGCAACATAAAAGCATAAAGAACCACAGATGCAGTTTGAAGATCTGTCTTCTTTTGTCTTGATTCTTTTTTTGTAAAACAGTGAATAAGAAATCTCTTTGACTCTCTCATACAAATCTTGTGCAGTGTGTTTTAGCACATAATAATGCTCTCCTGATGAAATCAGCCATCATGATTGAGCAGTTATACAAAATAAAACTATTCTTTAACAGAATAAATCGTTACATTTATCAAATCAGTTAACAAAAATTGTGCTTACAGGGTATTACCCTTGATGGAATTATCTAAACTATTAAAACCCTTTAACGCTGTTAATTTCCAAATGAAAGTGAAACTGAAAGCAACACTTTCCGCTACTGACATCAACCAGCAGATGGCGCTCTGACACCACAGAAACTCAAATCCATTTATTATGTGCCACACATATTACCATTTCCCTTGATTCAGTCATACCTCAAATATTCTCCATTGCATTTATGATCATCTAAGACTACGACACAGTTATTTAAAATGGTAAATTAACTTAAAATTATTCTGTGGCGTTATTCTAAAAAATGCAAAATCCAGTAAATGAATAAATGCCTCTTAACTTATTTGCATAACCATATAAACCTAACTCTAACACATAAACACATTGTCTGTTCTAGTCTAATGGTTTATATATATATATATATATATATATATATATATATATATATATATATATATATATATAAATATACACACACACACACACACACAATAGTAGAAATTAAAATGTGTGTTAGAGTTTGGTTTACATAGTTATACACACATTAATGTTTTAATACAATTAAATAGACAAGGGACAATAACCATTTTCAATGTATACCGCAGTTTGGAAAAGTCAAGGTTTTAAACTGCCAAAGGTTTCTGCCATATCGATCCGACAGCATATGTAAAGTTTTTTTTCCTTTGTTTTTTATTACTTTTTTTTTTTTTTTTTAGGACAACAGTATCTTCAGCACAAAAGATATACAAAGATGCCATTTAAAAATGTAAAGAAGTTTCCGAAGCTAATAAAGAAATCAGAAGTCAATAATTCATTTATTAAATGAATTTTATTCTTTACTATTACCATCTTTACTATTCCAAAAAACTTTTAAATGTTTCTCAAAATAAAATATATCATGCTCAAAAGGGAAAAGGTTTTGTTTTTATCCATACATTTAAAGAGAATATATTTTAGAGCAGTAATCACAATATTGAGAAACTGATTTATTTTTTTTTATTCAAGGTTATCATACCAGAATCTTATACCGGCCTATGTGTACATTGGAAAACAGGAGTAATTGTATTAGCCTCAACCAACAGGTCAACAAAACAAAAGTTTTTTTATGTTTATTTATTTATTTTTTTAAATAAAATTCTGACAGTAATTTGGGAAAGCTTGCATTTGACTATTACCACCAATGCACCAATTATGATTTAGAACAATAACTTTTTAACGAGACCATTCATATATCCACAGCAAAACATAAGCAAATTAGAAACGTTAACACTCACTCCAGCCATTAAAGGGGTAGTCCACAATGTAATTTTAAGGCTTGGTTGTGTTTATAAGATGCAAAGCAATGTGTGCTCATGTTTCACTTAAAGGAAATCATGTTATTTTTTTATATATCTCACTTTGATTACACAGCTACTCAGCTAACATGAAAACGACTGTCAAATTTCCTAGTTCCTCTGAAAGGCCCGCCCTTAAGTGACTCTGATTGGTCATCAATATAATGTGCTGCGATTGGCGAATCAGCTCCACGTCACGCCCGTAAAAGCACACACTTTTCTGCTGTGTAAACCTCAGTCAACCTCCTGCCTGCTCTCTAAAATAAAATCTGACAATTGTCTGTAACAAATGTAAATGGGGTGCGGCTCCTTTAATAGCGTGTGCGTCTATGTGTGTGTGTGTGTGTGTGAATGTGTGAACTTTCTGTAACAAGCGCATGTGTGCGGGACTTTCTTTTTCTCTGATGCTCGGTTAAGTTATTTTCTGTTATATATTGTGACAGAAGAATAAAGCACAAGATGTGGGATGCTACCTGTTTGAGCCTGGATTTATTTTTCTGCTGCTAGCACTGTATTTTTTAAACTCAACGCGTAACATGACGGCTTTTACATGTATCCGGAATATGCAGGTGTAATATGAATCATTCACATATCTTTTGTGACTTCATTATCTGAGATGTGTAATGCATAAAAAAGCTGCCTGAGGACAATCAGTGCAGCCAGTCGCGCACGCGCACACACATAAGAGACACGAACGTGCTGGTGGAGTGTGTGTGTGTGTGTGTGTGTGTGTATTCACAGCAGTTTGACTGATAAATATGAATTTGTAGCAAAATCGTTTGCCCGCAAAGCAGCTTTACCCATTGTTTACATCGTTGCTACAGCATACCGTTAACGCTAGACACTATACATGTCATGATCAATTTTAACTAATAAAAACACTGACTGGTTGTACCTGACAGCTTCTGCTTTGAGGAGATTTTAGCCGAATCCAGCACTGAACTGGGAGAGATTCTGAAGCTGTTTTGTCAAATCATGCTTGCTGTGTATTTTATAATTCTCTGGAACATAATTCATATTGAACTGTAAGCACTTCTGTCTTTGTGTCATGTCCTTTGGAAGCTTAAATACAGAAACGGACGAAGCTCTGTGGAAATAGCAGCGTTTAGACGCATTTTTAGCTTCATCTCTGCTATAACGTTACAGCACCTCTGGCCAAGGGCCTTACCTGCTCAGTTTGGATTCGCAGTAACGAACTTTTGTGATCTCACAGGGGGCAGAAGTATTTTTTGTAGTCCCCAAAATTTGTTCATTGTAGGCTTTGCTAAGCTAACTCTGTAAAAACCAAGGTCTCCCTTTGCATTGAACTTAGAACTTTTTACATTCAGAGATGTTGTTTATGTTCACAGAGCTACATTAAGCATCAACTAAAGTTTAAAATATGATATCATATTGGACCACTTCTTTAAACCTAAAAGTAAAGAAACTTTAGTAATAAAAGATGCAACACAGGACAATTGAATGGACTTTCTAAACGTAAAGCCTTGGTATACTGCAAACCAACCGTCCTGGAGCTCCACCTTCTTTGATGTAGGGTGTCTTCCCAGTGATTTGTTTCTCATTCAGGGAGTCAGACAGAGAACATCATCCAAAACAACACCAGCTACATGAATAGACTGAAGAGTGGAGTACAGATGTATCCGCACCTGTACAATCACTTGCAAAGAGATTTTAAGCTGCAGAGGTGCTCTTTGCCAGATGTTTATGAAACTGTTCTTCTCTCAGCCGCCATCATTGTGTTCAGGGTAAACGCAATGAGTGCAAAACATTTACAACCCCACCTACTGCAGTGTAGGAGTGTTGGAAAACAGTAAATCGTCACTCAGCCTTTTCAAACATTTTAAACCAAATGAGTGAAATTCTGTAAACACTGATCAGATCTGTACAGTTTCTCTCCAGAGAATCCTCTTCTGTTTTCAGATGTGTTAACTGATTAAACCTTGTCACAGTGTGAACACTTGTACAGTCTCTCCAATGTGAAACGTCTTGTGCACTTTGTAATAAAAGTCTTCTCACACTCAAAGCACATATAGTCTTTCACACCAGTGTGAATCTTCATGTGTTTATTAAGATTTGCTGATCGGTTTAAACTCTTCCCACACTGAGTGCATGTGAATAGTTTCTCTTCAGTGTGGGTCTTTATGCATTTATTAAGGTCTGAGGAGTTACTGAAACTCTTCCCACACCGAAGCTGCGGTCACACTAGAGTTTATGCATGCGATATTCCGTTGAACGGTACTGCGAAAAGGGGTGGGATTAAACAAGATGATTAGACATTAAAAAAAAGTGAGCGATTGGTCCATATTTTACATTTCTATCCAGAGAGGTCATGTTTTGATCTTCGATTGGTCTCACTCACTCAACCAATGCGATTTTGCAGGTCAGAGTTCACCAAGCTTGAACTTTGCAATGCAGTGAACTGTGAAACTTGACACACGAACTTCCATTTCCGATATGACGCATATGTGTGCTTATAAATGGAAGTCTATGGGGAGAAAAGTCCAGTGTGACAGCGGCTTAAGTGCAAGTAAATGGTTTCTCTCCAGTGTGGCTCATCATGTGTAAATTAAGGTATGGTGGTCGGCTGAAACTCTTCCCACACTGAGTGCATGTGAATGGTTTCTCTCCAGTGTGGATCCTCATGTGTTGATTAAGGGATGATGAGCAGCTGAAACTCTTCCCACACTGAGTACATGAGAATGGTTTCTCTCCAGTGTGGATCCTCATGTGGTGATAAAGGTGTGATGAGCAGCTGAAACTCTTCCCACACAGGGTGCATGCGAATGGTTTCTCTCCAGTGTGGATTCTTATGTGTTGTTTAAGGTATGATGAGTAGCTGAAACTCTTCCCACACTGAGTGCATGTGAATGGTTTCTCTCCAGTGTGGATCCTCATGTGTTGATTAAGGGATGATGAGCGGATTAAACTCTTCCCACACTGAGTGCATGTGAATGGTTTCTCTCCAGTGTGAATCATCATGTGTAGTTTAAGGTGTGATGAGCAGTTAAAACTCTTGCCACACTGAGTGCATGTGAATGGTTTCTCTCCGGTGTGGATCCTCATGTGAATTTTAAGATTGCTTTGTTTTCCAAAACTCTTTCCACACTGAGTGCAGGTTAAACGATTCTTGTCTCTCCTTTTCAAAATACCATCAGTCTGTAAATTAGTTTTTTCCTCAATTTTGATATGATGTTTCTCCTCTTTACTCACCTTATTCTCTTCAATTAAGTCTGAAATAAATAAATAAAACATTAGTTTTCATTAAGTCTTAAAAACTCTCATCAAAAGCTGAAAAGTGAAAAGACACTGGAAACATTGGCTACACACACTGTATTTTTGATGCACATTAAATGTAAAAAAAAAATCAGATCATATTGTGTTTAGTCCACATTTAAGCAGATTCAATTCAATTCATCTTTATTTATCTAGTGCTTTTACAATGTAAATTGTGTCAAAGCCACTTAACATAGAAGTTATAATAAATTGAAACTGTGTCAGTCTAGTTTTCAGAGTTTCTTACATAATTGATTATAAAAGTTACTTTGGTCATATTGATAAGACACAGATTTGATGTTCATAATTCATAATTACTTGGGATGCACCGATATGGATTTTTTGGCCGATACCAACAACTCTTTAGACTTAAAGGCAGATAGCCGATATATATAGGCTGATAATTATAAATATTTTAAAAGGTGATATTTTTATACAGCAAACTTCATAAAAGATTGAACTGCTCTTATGAATTAAATAGTCTATACTCAAAGCAAAAAAGCTATGATTTAAAAATTGCAAGGTGATTATATAGACCTATATTCACTTGGGTTGGGTATCGAAACCCAGTGCCATACCTTTGGAAACGGTATGCACCGGATCAAATCAGCGTATGAATTTCGGTGCCTAATTTCGGTGCTGCAACAAGAATGTAAGCAGGTTGCGCACCAGAAGCGCCGCTCGGCGACGCACAACGCCATGAATTAGCAAGTCATTGGCTGTCTGCGGCGCCCAGGCACGACTCATGACTATTCATATTTCTGCCATGCCACAGAGCGGCATCTAAATAGTTTCATTTTAACCTTCCTGTCGTGTTCGGGTCAAATCTGACCGATTTACAACTTAAATAACTCATAAATATTGTGTTTTACATCTGATAGCCTCATGGCCTAATGAAATCCTCCACACTATGCACTTAAACATATAAAAGTGATGAGCACCTCTTTCATTGAATTTTGAGTGTTTTAAATCAACCTTGTTAAACCTGTTGTGTTCCCGGTCAAAAGTGACCGCCATAGGAAATAAATAGGTATCCAGATTAAATTCATCCATCTGACAGAAAACATCCACCCACACACAACCTCAACTCACTCACCCACCCACTCACTCACTCACTCACTCATTTCAGACTGAACAGTGTCTTTTGCAGGAACACATCTCTTTTACGCGCTTATGTGCTGATCCTCCAGCCTGATCTCACAAATAAACATAACTATTTTACGTTTTGTCAGTTCAGTGGCTAATTCATATGAGTTCAGTCGTACAAAATTGTATAAATTATAAAAGGAGGCATGGCACCCAACCCAACCTCTAAACCCAATCGTCATAGGCGATAAGCAAATTGTACAAAACTATATGAATGAGATCATACAAATTCATATGGATTAACTACTAAACCAATAAGTTATGAATTGCTATTAAAGTGTTGGATCCTCTAACTTGAATCAGCTTCCTGATAACACAGTGTATCATATCTTCACAGACTAAACAGGTGTCTGTTATGTGAATCCATCTGTGTGTGTCTTTCTATATTTATTTATTTATTTATTTTTCTCTCTGGAAAAAACACAGAGAAGGAATCTTGTTTCCTTTCTTTCTTTCGTTCAGCCAATCTCTGAGTCTAGCAGGAGCACTTTTAGTTTAGCAACAATTATTTTATTATATTAGACCATTATTATCTCGCTCAAAAATGGCTAAAGTATAACTAGAGCTAGTTGTGTGGTCATGCTTACCATATATAGCCTCAATCACTATTCCCTATATTAGTATACTTGAAGGACTGAAAATTTGATCTCTCAGAACACAGAAAAGGACAGCATTTTGTTCGTGCTTTGCTGGTTGATAAATCATTCAGATGGATTAAAATTTCAATTTCTTTGGTCAGACCCTGTGATAGTTTTCTTAGTTAGCTGTCTATTAGTAATGAAACAAAGTATTTTGATTCCAGTCATCTATTGTTCATTTTGTAATATATTTTCAGCGCCTATTTTTATTTTCATCGCAGTTATTTTATGTCTAATTCTGTAAATTTATGTAAACACTACTTTGAGACATTGTTCACAGGTAAAAAATGTTGAATAAAAATTTGGTGGAGAAAAATTATCTTTGTGCTAATATAAGAGCAGTTAAAACAGACCGGTCAATGGGAACACTAAAGTAAGGGGTAGGATGCGAACACGACAGGAGGGTTAAATAACATGCGAATGTGCACGTCTGGTGTGTGATACTATCAACTGTCATGTGCACGCCATGCCACGGCTCTGAGTGGCGCATCTACTGTGTGACACCCTTAAGAAGCACAAAGGGGTGCATTAAAGGCACTCATAAGTAAGCGTTGTGTCATACTACCTCTAAATGTTTAATTCTAAACAGCTTTGAGGGATACGGATGTCAGACGTTTGTTATTGTAGCTTATAGAATGCAAAGCGTGCAGTACGGCACATGCGGCGAGCGACTCACTTCATCAACACGCATGAGTGCGTTCATCTAATTTGCCTAAACTAAGCATTCTACAGCATGGCTTTATTTTACAAGCAATGATTCTAACACACCAACATGCAACAGATGCTTTACAAAAGTTGCGTGTAAGAGAGAAACACGTCAAACTTATAAAATGGGGTGGGGGGGGTTAGTGGGGGATATGGAATCACCTTAAAGGTGAGGAATGGACCATCTCTGACAGCTTGTGACATCATCTGGCACATTATTTGAGTACGTTTACATGGACACCAATACTCTGATTTTAATATGATTAAGACAGTACTCTGATATGTAAACAGTGATTTTTGATTATCTTAAAGGACCACAGACACAAACTGCGGAGTAAACATTAGGCTGGTGACACAATGATGTTACTGGTCAATGTGCTATAACATGGAATTGGGAATCATGAATGTAACATTCAAAAAGCTACTCATGTAAACATCTGAATCATATTATTGTCTTATTCAGATTAAGGCAAAACATTAGATCACTGATGTCCATGTCAAAGTAGTCACAAGCCCCAAACCCAGAAAAAAGGTGTTCCCTGATTTTGATGACAGCCTTTCCACTAGTTAGTAGTAAGCTAATGCAATGTTAATAGCTTAATGCAAATCTTGCATTTACGCTAACAAACAATTGATCAAAAGAAATATATGAGTGCAATTCAAATATATAAAATATGAATTGATATCTACTTTAAACGTATTATAAATATATGCTTATATTGTTCAATTATAATGATACAAAAAATATATATATATATATATATATATATATATATATATTTTTTTTTTTTTCCGATTAATTTTGTGGCTAAAAGGTATCAGTTCAGGCACTGTTTTGACACCGGTACCGTTTTAAAAGTATCGATTTAGCACCGGTATTGGAAAAAATCCCAAATGATACCCAACCCTAGTTATAAGTGCATAGTTCTTTTCATAACCAACTGTATATTTGAATGAACATTGTTGTTTTTCAAAAGAATCGTTAATGCATTTAACAAACCTTTTGAAATCAAACGTGACAAACTGCGGGTTTGTGCTTACCATAGAAAACATACAGTGCAGGTCTTTGTTTTCACGTCAGGGCATTTTAGGCAACTGTACAATGTGGCAATAGCGTGTAGGACCATCTGTACTTTATGCCTGACACTGAACTGTTTTGAGTGATGACCCACCTCATCACTATGTTGAGGCTAAATGGCTGATCTCAGAGAGCAACTGATTCAAGTGTATAATACAAATATAGAAAAAAACAAATGTTGCTTTACACAATGTTCCTTTTAAATTCCTAACTAAATTTGTATTATAAAATTGAATCATTACTGGGCACTACATTGTTACTTGCTAGAGGACAGAGGATACCCTTTTCTGCCTTATATGATGACACCCTACCTGCAGCCTGATCCAGAGGAAATCCCAGTGACCCAAGCAGACAAATTAGATGGATTGATTTCTTTGTGATACAATAGTGAAATTCAAATATGGAAAAGTGCAGACAAATTCTTACACTGCTTGTTAGTTGAGGCAGAAATAACTTTGTCTGCATGTAAAACAAAAAGCAAAAAACAACCTAAAACTACCAGACAACAATCACTTACAACAGTGACAGATTGTGTGGTTTAAGTCAAAGAACTCAACCCCTGATGAGCCTTTATTAAAGGACAGAGCAGCTCCTCCACCTGGTGGCCCACAGCAGTTAGACATGCCTCAGCCTCCTTTCTATCAGCTGCATGACAGAAAGAATATTCTAGAGTGTTTAATACAGCTCAAGTAATCAAATAATATTTTTTCAGAGAATGTTTCTGTGTTTAATTATGTCTTTAGATAGAGTTCCTCTAGCTCCAGAAGGATTACAATTTCTATAAGCCTTTTTAGTCAATACACATTTGTATTGTGGTCTTAAGAAATTAATGGCAGGAAAATTAAATGCATGAATGGTTACATAACATACTAAAAAAGGTTGTTAAAGAGAAGTAAAATTTTTTATTACAATAAAAGGGAGGGTGGCAATTGTAATTTAATGAACTAACAAATTTTCTTATTATTTCTTTTTTAAATCTATTTCTTATATTATATTTCTTTCATTGATGCAGATGTGTAATCTGTGTTTAAAACCTCCACCTCTGTAAAGTGCGCTGGTCTTTTTTACTCACAGTGACTTTCTATGGTGACTCGTGACTTTGGCGATCTGCTGAGAATGCCTTCAGGTATGCGCCGTGCGCATGCATTAACCCACTGTTATCTTCAGGAGGTTGATTTAACTAACTCTTATCAGCCGTTTTAGAACCGACATAACTCACGGTAAGCAGGTTTCGGGTAGATAGCAGATGGGAAGTTAACCCAGCTTTCTGGAATAGCCTCTAGTCTCTAATCTGAGCTGCTGTTAAAGGTGCAGTAGGTGATCAGCCAGAATGCTAGCATTAGCGTAATAGCTTAGAACAGGTGTGTCCAACTCTGTTCCTGGAGATCGACCTCCCTGCAGATTTCAGTTGCAACCCATATCAAATACACCTGCCTGTAATTATCAAGTGCTGTTCAGGTCCAAATTAATTGGTTCAGGTGTGTTTAATCAGGGTTGAAGCTGAACTTTGCAGGAAGGTCGATCTCCAGGAACAGGGTTGAGCACCACTGGCTTAGAAATTTCATGACTCTCCCCTGCCATTTTGGCAGAGAAGTGAATAACTCATCACATTCTTACGAAGATATTTTATTTATTATAGTTATTTTTTTCATTGACGTGAATACAATAATGTGTGACATAATAACTAACCAGTCATCTAAAATCTTAAAAATAATAAAATAGCCTATTGTTTTATTCATGGATAGAGCTTGATTAATTTGATTGACGAGGCAATGAGACTTTTAATTTGCCTGACTGAATGTAAGTTTGTGTCCGCTGTGTAATTTAATTTATTGTTAAAAATGAAATAATATAAGTTATTATAAATAATATAATTTAAACCAGGGTTTCTGCACGTTTCGCCAAGTAAAAAGCAAGACTTTTATGACATTTTTAAGACCATTATGAATGAACCTTTAGACTCATAAAGGGCTAAAGGCAAAATAATTTTTCAAATGGCCCAGATGGAAAAGATTTTTATTTGTTCTATCAAAAAATATTATAATTTTATACATTTAATAACACAATAATAAATGAATAATAAAAAAATACAATATTTTATATATTTCTTAGCAAAAGATTTTAAATATTGTGTAAAAACAAGCAAGCTTCACTTATATCCATACACTTTTACAAACATGAACTTTCTTGGAAAAAATAATAAAAAAATGAATAAACGTTTTAAAAGTTTTAAAAGCTATAATAAACTAAATCTATGCACAACAATCTGTCCAGGTCGATGTCCTCAGCAGTAAATACATGGAGCACATTTAAACAAATGTTATTGTAAGTTAAATAATTAAACCATTATGATAAATAAAGTTAAAATGACCTTTTTGAATAAAAAGTTTAAGGTTTTATTGAGATGGATTGTTGGTGATTGTATGGGTTTTGGCCAGTTTGGGTAGCAAAACATGAACAAATGAAAATGAAGACTTGTTTAAAACAAGATTTTAAGACCTACAACGAAACATTTTAGTAAATTTAAGACTTTTTAAGGCCTAAAATTTTAGATTTTGAAATTTAAGACATTTTAAGACCCAGCAGAAACCCTGTGTAAACACAATAGCCCTGGAAATTAGTTATTATAATAAAGATGTAATTCTAACTCAGATAATATATGTGAGAACTAGCAACAACTACTATAAAAAAGTTTAAACTCATAAAGATGTTGATGAAAAAAAGGAATTGTGATCAACGTGACATATGCAAATGGAAAGTACTAAGCCAACACTATCACTGTAATAGCAGATATCTTCTATGAGAAAACTGTAGGTCAAATATTGTCAACTCAGTTAAACTATTTTTTTAAATTTAATGTTTTTATTTTATATAGCGCCAGTGCTCAAGGACGCTTTACAAACAGTAAGAGAACAAGAAAAGCAATAACCTTAAGAAGGTAGATAAAATAAGAGACTAATAATACATAAAAGAATGTCAAAAGAGATAAGAACAAGAAAGAAACTCATTTCTGTCTTTCAATGAGTGCTTATGTGCATTTAGGAGAACTAGGCAGCACTCTCAGGGCTGCAAGATGGATTTAATTTAGTATTATTATTATTAAAATATATCCGAATGAGGATCAAATGACTGAGTTGGTCTTTAAGAATGAAAACCAACCTGTTTGTTCCTGCAGATCTTCCTGCTTGACTGTGAATGTTTCTTCAATCTTCACATCTTCACTCTCCTCTTTAATAAACGCCATCTTTATAACAGTGTGGAGATCAGTCACTTCAGCAGGAGTTTTTCTGTGTGTTTGGACACTTCATCCTGTTTAAAATGAACAAAACATTAAAAAATGTCCTGTACAAAATGAATAAAACAATGAACAGAAACAAAATAACTTCTCTTCAACACTTGCTCCAACAGTTTCTTTATATGAGTCATTAACAAGCAGAAATCAGGTAAAAGTCTGAGCAAGAAACAAAATACCACAAATGACCTGAACAAAATTACCCAGACAGCACACATACGTTGGGCCGACGTCGGCCGAAGGTCAACACGTCGGCCCCTTTAATTCTAACATCGGTATATGGTCGGCCAAACATACGCATGATCGTTCGGTCGTGTGTTCTATTGTTCCAGCTCAACAAACGTCGGCTCTGCGTCGGTTAACGACCAGAGGCCGACGAAGCACTTCATAAGCACTTTATCTCTCATGCCCATGAAAGAATCCGGCAACATATTTGGTTTACAAGTAAGTTTTTGCGTGCATAATAAATTAGACAAACGCGACATGCATCATGTGAACTGCGTTGGTCGGTCCAGCTTTAAATAGCCTACATTAATGCAGTAAAACTGACCAAAATGCCTACAATACATGATTTCAATTCATTAAAATATAAAAAGTTTTATTGTTATGCTTTAATAATGAAAACGTTGTTTTTTTCTGGTGTTAACTGCTGTTTGCTTTTTTTTTATTGTGGCTTTTTCTAATACATTTTTCCCAGTGTAAAAATCAAGTATGTTCTGCATTTCGGCAGTTTAATTAAAATAAACACCTTTTTACAGAGTGACATCTTTGTTTTATATATACTTGCATTTATATTTATTGGTTATTTATTTTTGACAGTGAATGCACAAATAAAGTGTTTGTTTTGTAACAGTTTAGTAGGCTATAAAGCTCGTCTTAAAGATAATAGCGTATATAAAACTGCTAAATACATTTTAAATTCAAGATATAAAATACAAGGTTATTATTTAAATTGTCTATGGAGTGATCATGTTTATAAATGTAATACTGCAAGACTTTAATGTGCGCGCGCGCGTCTTGCTTCCAACACTGGAGCGGAGAGGATGTTGCTATGGGAAACGAAGCTACAACACGACACGACGCCACCATAAAGACACAACACGACTTCTCTTAAGCTGCCGTTTTGACTGTTTTCAGGTAAGTTTAGTCCCTAAAACAAAGCAATTACTAAATAAAACTGTTCCTCACACATTTATTATTGGCAATTGATGAATATTCAGTTGAATATTATGTTATATAAGAGTGGTAAGTCTTCGTAAAAGTCCGTTAGCATATTAGCACTGGTAACGTTAGCGTCGGGGTAATATTACGTTAACTTACTTAATGTTAGCTCTTGTTAAACTTGTTTGTTAAAGTTTTGGCTTTTATTTATTCTTTATGTGTAGATGAGAGGTTTTGTCAATGTTTTATTGAATGCACTCCATATGTAGTCTAAAATACGCATTGTACTGTAAAGGACCGTGAATCAAAAGTTCAATCGTGTTTTGATATTTCATGGTATCTTAAACAAATGTTAAGTAAAAAAGTGTTCTGTGGTTTCAGGAGTGAGAGAATAACCCCCTGCTACAGAAAATATAACATAAGATTCCTACATTTCTGAAGGGAGCTGATCACAGAGATGCAGAAAAGACAGGTAACTTTAAGCAGAGGATTAATTCATATGAATTTCCATTGCACATCATTATGCACATGTTACATGTCTATATATTATGCATCTGTTACTTGTCTTTATTGCAGTTATTTTAAGAAAGTTTTGACTTTGAAACATGTGAGTGGTATTAAATTTCAGATCACATGATTCTTCAGAACTTAATAAATATGCAGATTTGCTGCTAATGAAGTAATATTTGTGATTTTCATTTTGTTTAATTTTTTTATGATTAATTGATTTATTAAATCTTAGAAAAAAGTTTACACTACATTATTTGTCATCACATCTGTTTTTAGCATTGATAGCAATCAGAAATGTTTCTTGAGCAGCAAATCAGCACCATTTGATAATCACCGTTATATTAGTTCAACCTCAAGCACTAAATCAACATCTTAAAAAAAGATTTCTGAAAGATCAAGTGACACTGAAGACTTGAGTAATGATGCTGAAAATTTAGCTTTACATCATAGCTATGAATTACATGTATATTTACACCGTTCACCCATCCCTTACACCTTAACTCATCCTCAAACAAGTCAATTTAAGCCCTAAATGAATACATTTTGATTTGTACAGGCATGATATGCAACTTGTATTCAGTCGTTTTGTTTTTTCTTTCTTTTGCTTTTGTTTTCCACATCAACTGAAAAGGAGGTCAAAGTTTAACCTAAGTGCTGTGTAGCTGATGAACATCTTTATATGTAAGTATATTTTTGACTGACTGCCAGACACTTGTCAAACAGTGATGAGCAAACGAGGGGCCGTTCTTTTAAAAAGATCAGGGAGATGCAAGTCCGAAGATAAATATACATTTTAATTCAAAATTGATTTATCTGTAAATATTTCATAATGTTTTGAGATATGTGCCCTATATCCATTTAGATGTCCATCCATGTTTAAAATACTTTTAAATTTAACAACAGCTGCAAGTTATAAAAACATAAACACAAAAAGGTTAAAGTAAATTGAGAAAACATTTTCATCAGTTTGACAACATACACAATCTCACAAATAGCATAGAAAAAGTGACAAAGTTGTCTTCTTTGTCTGTGTTTTATTACTCTCTTTGCACTCTCGGCCACTGTATGTAACAGTGATTAGTATAATGTAACGGTAGACAGATGAGGAATGTGAATATGTAGTTTAACTTTAAGGAGCGTTACTACTGGAACCATTTTTTGTACAAATATATATATATATATATATCAGGTAGATCAGCTCCTGACAGACATGTTAACAGGTCAGTTTAACTCTTATTAAATTCATTCATTCATTCATTTTCTTTTCTGATTAGTCCCTTTATTAATCTGGGGTAACCACAGCGGAATGAACTGTCAACTAATCCAGCATATGTTTTATGCAGTGGATGCCCTTCCAGCTGCAACCCATCACTGGGAAACAACCATATACGCTTATTCTCACTCATACAATACAGACAATTTAGCCTACCCAATTCACCTGTACCCCATGTCTTTGGACTTGTAGGCAAAACCGGAGCACCCAGAGAAAACCCACGCAAACGCAGGGAGAATTTGCAAACTCCACACAGAAATGCCAGCTGATCCAGTCGAGGCTCGAGTCAGCATCCTTGCTGTAAGGCAACAGCACTATTGTGCCACCACGTCATGCTCTTATTAAATTATATTTATATAATGTTGTGTTTCAGTACATGCTATTTTGGAAAGACAAAATATATTCATAAGCTCTCAGAAAATTCAATAAGACAATTAACTGCACAATTACTTGAAATGTGTGGATGGGATTACATTATTTGTTAACCCAAAGTGAGTTTCTCTTTCTTTGCAGTGTTGGATGCCTGATTGCAGTTCAACTCCAAACTCAGTTGGACCAGCTGATCAGTGTCTTCAGTATTACCACAAGCTACTGGGCAGATGTGTGGACACGACAGCTATGAGCCAAACTTGGGACGTTTGGTTTTTAGGTAATACCAGTGACAAAGTATTCAGTAAATTGCTTATAATAAAATATGCTCACTGCTTACCCCCTTATAGTTAAGTTGTTTGCAGTTTCATTGTTGGAAAAATACCATACTTTTTCCTTTTTTATCAGCAGGTGGAGAGACCGTCTGGGCAGCAGAAACAAGACAACTAATCATAGTTGAGTTGAGATTAGTATTATTAACTTGACTAGTTTGGTTGCAGACTTGTTCAATACTTAACAATTTGTATAAGTTACAAGATCAATGGTCCTGCTATCAATGTTTTTGTAACTTAAATTCATTACAGTTTAGATACAATCAAATGTCCAAACCATCTCTGAGTGTATGACATCAAGGAAACAGGATCAAAAGATCATTCATTATAGGCCGTTTCATAGGTAACAGCACATCCTTTGTGAAAAATAATTTATTTTTGTGTCATCATCACAAGACAAAATACATTTCAACTGATTTCAGTTGGTTATATTTTCCAGGTCATTCTGTTCTCCTGGTGGTGAGGATGTGCAGAGGCTGTATTTGTGCAGCTGTATTCACACATACAAGTAGCCGACAAAGAGTTCTGGAGCAGGACAGACAGGTAGTTCACAGTGGCTAGGCTAGAAATTTATACTTGGGTGGCCAGAAAGTGGCCTCCGCTATTTTGGGGGGTCCATACAAATAAACCAGTGTAAGCTATACTATTGCACTGAAAAAATTAAATGAAAGAATTAATTAATTGGTTGAACACAAAATATTTTAAAGAAAGCTTGAGTATCAAGGTGGCAATATACAGTATCTGTTACATTGTAGTACATGAGCTGGCTAATACAGACTCGTAAATGTTTAGTTGTTAAGATTAGTTAAATACTAAATCCTATACTTGAGACCGGCTGCATATACAGCTTTAACTGAACTGAATTTAACTAGAACTACACCAGCATTCCAAGTGCTCTAGACTAGCTTTTTGCACTGGTGCGTCTAAAATGTTTGATGGCATTGCATTTAACACTGCAATTTTACATGTTAAAATTACAATCCATATAGGCAATATTGACTTGTAAATGATTAATAAAAATCAGGTCAACACACATTATGGGGATTGTGTGTAGAATTTTGAGGAAATTAATGAATTTAATCCATTTTGAAATAAAACTGAAACATTAAAAATGTGGAAAAAGTGAAGCGCTATCAATACTTTCCAGATGCATTGTATATGGTTTTTAGCGCGTTATCAAAGACTTAAAAAAATAGTCCAACATTATCTACAGCAGCAAAAGACCCTCCACATCAAAAGCTACTGGTCAGCTCACGATTCAGCAAACATCTGAAAAACAAATAGCTCATTATGCCTTCACAAGAAATCAGTGTTTTTGAGTCTAATGAAGATAGTACTATTTTATTAAATTATTATTTAGCCTGGCATGTTTACTGTTACAAAATATTTTAAATGTTTCTTAAAATAAAACATATTGTGTTCAATGGGGAAAAAGTAGCTGTTTTTTACACAGAGATAAAAAAAACACATTTCAGAGCAGTAATCACAATACTGTGAAACTGTGATATTTTTATCTAAGATTATACCCCCAGAATCCTATACCTGCTCATTCCTAGCCAGTTAGTTAAAGCATTCAGTCAGAGTTTTTTTTATTATTTTTTTTTCAGTTGTCCTATATTCTGTTTTTCTTTGTTCTTGGAAATGCTGCTGTGCATGAAAATGTGACGATATATCCAGGTTCTATAGTTAATTCTGAAATAAATCTTAAAATGAAACAATATTTAAAAATGCAATATTTAATGTGTCAGACACTAAATAAACATGTCAATTCATTTATATTAATCTGATTCCTTAACAGGGCAGCATGGTGGCGCAGAGGGTAACACGTTTGCCTCACAGCAAGAAGGTCGCTGCTTCGAGCTTCGGCTGGGTCAGTTGGCGTTTCTGTGTGAAGTTTGCATGCTCTCCCCGTGTTGGCGTGGGTTTCCTCCGGGTGCTCCGGTTTTCCCAAGTCCAAAGACATAGGTGAATTGGGTATGCTAAAATTGACCATAGTGTGTAAGTGTGTGTGAATGAGTGTGTATTGTTTGCAGCTGGAAGGGCATCCGCTGCGTAAAACCACAGATTAATAAAGGGACTAAGCCCAAAAGAAAATGAATGAATGAATCCTTAACAGTTATTATTGGTATAATGAGCAGCAGTTGTCATTTATGTAAATTAACCATTTGAGCGTGCTTAGTTTGGGGTATGTTGTGCCATTAAATTGTCAATAGGTTTTATTTTTTTCTACATTTTAAATCTGCTTTAGCTTTCTTCTTTCCTATAAACCTGGAAATATAAAATATATATATTTTTGGTTTTTAACAAATTGCTTATTTTATTCTTAGATTGGTGTACGCTGATGGTCTGCTGAGAATTCTGCTGCGTTGAAGGGATCCTCCTGTCAAGACAACCTCTCCAAAGAACAATAGGACTAGTAAGTAACATCTTAAACATACACTACTGTTTCATAGCTTTTAGGTTGGTATGGTAAATTCTCTTCTGATAGTGTCAGCTTTATTTAATTAATACAGTCAAGCAGTAATACTGTGAATTTAATACAATGTATATAATTAATAGTGTCACATGATCCTTCTGAAAAAATAGTATTCCAATGTACTGATTCTCTCCTCAAGCTGTTTTTTTTTTTAAATATAAAACATTTTAAATAAACATATTTTTAGTATTCTTGATATATGAAAAGTTTATTTTTAAGAGCATAGTATTTATTTGAAAAAAAAAAAAGTTTGCTCTTTGATGATTGCTAACAATCAGACATGTTTCTTTAGAGCAAAAAGAATTTGTGCAAAAAAGTATTCTCACTGAGCGTTGTCCAACTGTGGTCAACATGTCATTTAAGTTTTCAAATAAGCCTAAAAGACTTGATTAGCTGCATCAGTTGCATTTAATTAGAGAGTTGAATATATAATTTCTTAATATATCCTCCTCTATAGCCTACATATAATAGAAGTTGTTTGCTGAAAAACCTTTTTGTAGCAGAAATAAAGCTATGATTAGGCCCACGCGGATTTTTCGCAGAACTCCGCAGATGTTTAGCCTATCATTAATTCTGTTTATTTACTTGAGTAAATGTGTGTAAATCTATATTTATTCAGTTTTTTAATTATTTCAATAATATTGTTGACTAATGTGAAAATGTTCATCTGATTTATGTACAATGAGGTTTGTACAGTAATATTTTTTGTCTTACTAGATATGTTATATGAAAAACTTGCTTTATTTACCAAATAAAGTGAATCAAATTGGATTTGCATTTTAAACATTAAATAAAATTAAAAATATATAATTTTTTTATTTCATATATTAAGGTTTTAGTTATGATACTCCCAAAATAATTCCGCAGAAATCCGCAGACTTCCACCAAAATTTTCAGCAGAAGTAGCAAAAAACATCCGCAGATTCCTCCTGGCCCTAGCTATGATATATTAAATGTGGTGTACAGTGTGACATTTTAGTTGACGAAACTTAGTTTAATTTGCATGTAATGTGGTATCTGAAGATTAGACATATATTTAGATACACATTTATACTAACACAATAATACTAAAAACCCCAAAAAAACATTCATTATGATTTCACAAGGAATTTAACTTTCAAATGGCTTTTCTAAAAATTAGTGCTCAGACACACTCTTTAAGGTTAAATTAAATTACACATTTTAGCTAGGCACTTGCATAACGCATACTCCAGTTATATGTCATGAAAGAAATAATATATATTTGTGGTAATATGAACTGCTGCAATGCTAATCTTTCTCCTTTTGGTTTCTTGCTTTATTTAAGGGTTCCCACTACAAGGATTAGATTTGGCTACTGCAGTCCCGGTTTGGACCAGCATCAGTTGTGAAGACTAAAGATGAAGAAAACATACAAGAACAATTTCGAGGATGGCGACACACTTTTTATTCCACCTATATATCCCCTTTTATGTGGAAGCAACATTCCACAAGATAAAACAAAACTAAATGACAGGTTATTTCTTTTAATTTTGTCTGTTTTCTTGGAACATTGTACACAATTTACAACTAGTTTATATATATATATATATAGGTCAGAGCAAGAAAATGTTATTTTTTCCTTCTGGAGAAAGTCTTATTTATTTCATTTCGGCTAGAATAAAAACAGTTTTGAATTTTTAAAAAACATTTTAAGGTCAATATTATTAGCCCCTTTAAGCAATTTTTTTCGACTGTCTACAGAACAAACCATCGATATACAATAACTTGCCTAATTACCCTAACCTGCTAGTTAAGCTAATTAACCTAGTTAAGCCTTTACATGTCACTTTAAGCTGTATAGAAGTGTCTTGAAGAATATCTAGTCTAATATTATTTACTCATTAGAAATGAAACTACTTATTAAAACTATTGTGATTAGAAATGTTAAAAAATATTTCGGTTTAACAGAAATTAAGGGATTTTATGTGTGTGTGTGTGTGTGTGTGTGTGTATATATATATATATATATATATATATATATATATATATATATATATATATATATATATATATATAATGACAAAATCTGTTTTGTGTCGTGCATTAGAGTTTGCTTAAAAAAAATAATTATCTCTGAGAAAGTATTGTTATTTTATATTATTGATGTTTAATTAGTTCAGAGGAGATTGCAAATTGTTGAATGCCATTTATAAAAAAAAATTGACTACAGACTTTAATAAGATTTTATCAGACAATTATTTTAATTTGTATGATTTTATTTACTACTGTAAATATTGTTTGCTTGGTATTTATTTTGTGTTTGTGTCCTGTTTTATTATTGTAACTCCCTGAAGAAAGTATTTTGGATACTGAACACATGACTGGTATTATCTTGTATTTTAAGATTATAGTCTTGGAAACATGCATTTTCTTTAACACTATTTAAGAAATTATAAGCATTATAACATGTGCTTACACAAGTTATTTGTGTTTTTACTATAGTAAACTATAGTCACCTTAGTGTACATGTTTTGAAGTACTTGTAAATATTCCTATGGTCTTAATGTAAATGCTGCAATGGACTTTGTATTTAAAATCTTAGTTGCACATTAGTTCAGCCATGGTTATAGTACAACTTGTTGGTTTTCTTTTAAACGTGGTAAAACATGGTTATGTGTGATAAAAGTATGTTAATTTATTTGTATGTTTGTGAAAATATTAATAAATCTTCAACTTATTGAGAGTGGTGTGTCGTGTTTATTATAAATAAGCAGCTGCTGCAGCTAGTGGTCCATGAGCAAAACGCCTGAGAACAGCGCCTCCGCGGAGCGGCCGGTATTTTCGGTTGCGTCGTCCAAACGTCGGCCGGACAGCGTTTCCGATCATTTGCCGACGTCGCGGCGACATTTTGCCAATTAGCAAACGCTCCCTGAGCGACATCGCACCGATGGAATTTTGAAAATCGGCACGACGTCGGCCCAACGTATGTGTGCTGTCTGGGCAGGAGGTTGATTTAACTAACTCTTGTCACCTGTTTTGGAACCAACATACTCGCGGTAAGCAGGTTTTGGGTAAATCAACCGAGAGTTTAGGTTTTAGCAGATGGTAAATTAACCCAGCTTTCTGGAATACCCCCCTGTTTGCTACTAGCAATCACACATGAACACATTATTGAATCTAAAGACTTTACATTTTTGTGCACTAAGCTATGATTTCGTAAAATAAACAATGTATTAGATCATGAAATATGATTAATTTTTGTAAATTTATACAGTTATATAAAACTTCCATGTTTTTCACAGAAAGATTCTGGCAACCACAGCTGCTGGTATTTTTTCGGAAATTTAACAGATATTTTATACAATAAGAGTTTGTTAATTAACACTCTCTTGGTGTTGACAATGTTAACACTTTCAAAAGTGTTATTTTTAACACTTATAGTGGTTCCCATATAAACTCTGAGGGAGTGTTAATTTTAACTCCAAGGTAGTTAAATCTACTATCTAAAATTTGCAGTGCACAAAAGAAAACTTGACTGGTGAGCTGCAGAAAACGCAACATCTTCAGTTATTGTTATCACTGAAAATGCACTGTGTACCCTCTTTCCTCGATAAGACCTAGCACTTTAATATAGAACGACAAATGACCATGTGACAATCTTGGCAACATTTAAAAAGACAAAAAAAAAAAAAAAAAAACATTGTTCATTGCCTTTCCTTTTTCCCCATCCAGATGAAGCTCCAAACATAATTATAACAGATGGATTAATGGTAACAAATATTCAACTTTTCTATGCCACAAGTTTTTTTTTTTTTTTTTTTTACAAAACTATAAATATTCCTTTTAAAATTATGACATTTAATCTCTTTTAAACCCATTGAACAACACTTTTTCAATTACAACTATATTGTAACACTTTTTTACTGCACTTCAAATGTTGTTTACACACAGACTTTTCTATTCTTACAGACTTGCATGTACCACTAAAACAATAAAAATTAAAACAATCATGCAATTTTTTTACTAAATGCAAAAATTACACAAAAAAAATTGTACATAAATCCACAAAAAACAAACCTGAAAACAATTGCCCTTAAAAACGAAAAACTACACATTGTCAACGGTTACTTATCCCCTTGGCACAAACCTATTTGACTTAAGCAAATGAAAAAATAAAAAAAATAAACATTTACCAGATAGTAACCATTCACTTTATTCTCCAACTACGAAAGTAAATGGCTATATGGTTCTAACATTTTAAATATTATTTTCTCTTTAACAGAAAAAATTATAATAAAGATTTAGAACCACTTAAGAGTAATTAAACAATAATGAATAAATAAATAAATAAAAACTTAACTACAATTTTCTGTTTTACTGAATGATCCTTTAAAAGCTACTCACCGGTCTCTTGCAGCACACTGAAAACTGTTATGCTTTTGCACGTCAAACTCAACGACTCTGCTGTTGTGGTTGGCCTCCTGCAGCAAGGCCGTAAAATAACGCACATTGCTCGATTTTCCTTGTAGCACTTCAGACACGTCATGTACGCAACCCCCTACTTCCAAACACTTTCTCTTTGACTCAGCCATTACTCTGTGGGACATACGAACACACATCATATCTTGCCCATATCCCTCCATTGCCAGCACGGTATTCTTATAGGTCGCCATTTGCAATGACTTCTTCAGCTAAACTACAACATGCACCATTGCAAATAATTCTGTACTATACAACTACACGCCATTTTACACTGTACGCTGCTCCTATACAACGGCTGGATAAACCAGCGGTTTAGAATTTCACTTAGCTACACATATCTCGTAAAACAGGAAGGAACAGCAAGGAACACGGCAACATCCATTAATTACACATTCACAACAAGGTCCCAAACATTGTTGTTTCAAATATACATTACACAACATTTTGCCACCACCGAAACAAGACTTATAGTATAAAAACATACCGCACTAAGGTCTCCTAATGTTGCCGATGTTGTACTTTCTTCTCCTCAAGTCCAACGACGATCGAAACTCCCAATGCCAACCGCAACTTCAAACACTTATAGCTTTACCAGGATCGTTCAAAGCCACCATCGCGCCCTCCTATTGGCTCACCACATATACGCGTCGACGTCCGCGTCTGCGCATCTTCTTCTTTAGGTTTTAACGGCAGCTGGCATCCTGTTTGTTGTGTTACTACTCCCTTTTGTACTATTTTTCGTTTACTCTATATTCTTTTTTCCAATCCAGTTTCCCTTAGGAAATTTATATATTCATATATATATATATATATAAAATAAACAACCCCTTTTATAGTTGAATGGCATTAATTTGTTTTTAAACCTACAGGGTAATTCACATATTTTACAATCTAAAGCATAATATAAGAACTTTTTCTTTGAAAAAACAACACATGGTGTTTTTATCTCTGTCAGTGTTCTTTTAATATGTTTAATCCTTTCTGTGCAAATCATATAGTCAATGCCACATGCACTGTAATGTGTTTTATATTGACAGTTCATTTTGACATAAAAATAGCTAAATGTTCATGACATTTAAAGAGTTGCATTTTTGCTGGAGGAAGCTTTATATATGAGGCAAGGAGCCCCGAGGAGCAATCAGATAAGTAGAAATATAGAGGACTAAAGCCCACCTAAAATAGGCCAAGGCCATAGCTACTATTATTTTCTTTTTGCACTTCACAGCACAAAAGGTAAAAATAGCCTACTTCAAGAACCAATACATATAATAACATGTACACATTGACACAAAATACATCATTTATTTGATGTAGTTACTATCAAAAACTTAAATTATACCAAAAAATCGTCTTGCATAGGGCTGTCAAATGATTAAAATTTTTAATCAGAATTTTCAGTGGATTGATCAGGATTATTCACTATTTGCAACTACACCTGAATCGTAACCATTTTTTTTCTGAAATGCATACCAAAAGATAAAAAATAGGACACAGATACATAATTTTCATATTATGTCTGTTTATCAAAACAGCCAAACAATTGTGATTTAAATCAAGCTGAAACATTCTACACACCGTAATATTAGTTTTTGCTATGTCCCACCGCTTCCTCTGGCATTCCTCTTAACCAGGATGTACAATTTACAGTATTCAATTGAACAGTAAGCAATAAATGTAGTAAAATCATAACAGTGGCCTACCACATTTTTATCACGCACAGTTTGAGTCATCTGTTGGAAAAAATAACTGTTGTGTTTGTGTGGAAAAAATATTTTCAATAAACTTTTGAATCAAACCAAAAGAACAATCTTTTACCTTTATCTCCATTCTTTAATCCAGTTGCCCAAGCAAGCCTAACTACTATAACATGTTGCACTGAAACTGGTCTTTTTGTTTGCACATAACTTTTCAAATCTACTGAGCTTTCTCATCTTTCAGCCAGTTGCTGAGGCAAACTAACTTGTTCACATTTTCCTCCAACTGCAACCCAGTACTGGGAAACATCCATACACTCTCATCCACACATATACACAACAGACAATTTAGCTTACCTTATTCACTTATAACGCATGTCTTTGGACTCCCAGAAAGCGCCACCTT